TAAGATATCGATGTTGATGTGTTCCATTTTATTTTTGACAACTTCCAATTTTCCCAGATTCATAGTTCGTACATTCCATGTTCCAATTTTCAATGGATGTTTACAGCTGTTTCTCTTCATTTTGATTTGTGGCCCATCAGCAAATGAAGGTTCTGTGAGCTTTTCTCTACTTGGAGGAGGCATTTTTTACCCCACTCACATTCTGAGTGCCTTCCCACCTTCCGGTCCTGTATCTGACAATGTTTCTCTGCTAATCATAGAGTTTTCAGTGACGAGAGATTCAGAAGTAGTTTGTCACTCTTTCTTCCTAGTCTGTCTTTGTTTGGAAGCTCATCTGAAACCTGTCCACCATGGGTGACCCTGCTTGTTATGTAAAATACCGGTGGCATAGCCCTCAGAATCACAGCAATTCAAACCACCACTCAAGGTAGGCAGTTTAAACTCATCAGCTGTTCCCTGGAAATCCTATAGAGGGTTGCAATGAGTCAGACACAAGATACAAATGTTTGTATTCAACTACTAGCCTAAGTGTTAGTGATTCAAACTTACTCAGGTGTGCCACAGAAAATAGGCCTGACAATGTGCTTCCGTAATTATAGCCAAGAGAACCCCAGTCCGACTATGTAATATGTGGGGCTACCCTGAGTTGGAATCAACTTGACAGCACTAGGTATATATCTGTCAATGAAATTACCTCAAAATCAAAAGTTAGCATTATTGCCATATTTGTTTCTTCTCTTTTTTTAAAAATTTAAAGTATATCATCACAGTTCATCCCTAAACATTTCAGTATGCATTACTAAAAATTTAAGCCAATATTTCCTTAGTTGCAAAACATTTTGTTTTGGTATTAGCTTATCTCTCCTTAAGAGACCATATATATTGATTTATCATACTAACAGAAAAAAAAACTGAGCTGATTTTTGGACATAGCTACGCACAAATACACAAGAGATAAACACAGAACTCAGAACAAACTTACCAGCTAGAATAAAGATAAATACCTACGTGTCTGTAAATGGCGGGTGTCACTCCTTGCCAAAGCCTTAGAAAGCCCTCCTCTTGGATGATCCCTAGGGCTGTGCGCACCATGCCCCTATAGGGGGCAGATTCCCTGGCACGTTCTCCCAACCGAGCGAGAGCAGCTTCTCCTTGCATTTGGAGTCGAGTTTTTGTGAGATCAAGAGGAAAGGTTGCTAGTGAAAAACAAGGGGAAACCCACAACATTCAGAGAAACAAACAAAGATTCTAAAATCAAAGGACTAATATTTTCCTGCATAAGATTAGTGGTTCTCAAACTTTACATCAAAATCATCCAAGGAGATGGTTAAAAATTACGGATTTCCTGGCCCCATTCCTAAGGATTCTAATTCATCGGGGATGGTAAGTTTGTTCTGGATAACAAGTGTTGGTTTCTCTTTGTATAGAAAGTTTAATCTAGCATCCACTTTAGTCCTGAATTTTACGTTCCAGTGAGAAATAGTTTAAGGTACTTTGATGTGGCACTGCGGGATAAAACACTGGACTGTAAGGTAGGTTTGATCTGCAAGGTCAGTGGTTCAAACTCACCAGCCGTTCCTCCGAAACTCTATACAGGGTCACTATGAGTCCAAACCAATGCAACAGCACTTAGCAACAACAACATGGGGTTCTATGTATGGCAGCAATGATTTTTCAAAGATCCTTTGTATCTTTAAAAATACTGTCCTACTTATTAAGATTGCCATTTGTTAAATGAAGCTGAATTATAAAGTTTGCTAGATGATGGTCACACATAGATGAGTCACTAAGCTGAAGATTTAGAAACTGAAAATTCAATATGTTTACACTATTTTCTTTTCTATGGTAGTGGTGGTGTGGCACGGAGTCAGTTCTGACTCATAGCAACCCAGTATAGGGTTTCCAAGGCTGTAAATTTTTAAAGGAGCAGAAAGTCTCATCTTTCTCCCATGTAAAAGCTGGTAATTTCGAACTGTGGACCTTGAGGTTAGCAGTCCAACTCGTAACCACTACACTACCAAAGCTCCTTTTTCTCTCCTATGTTGTTGTTGTTAGGTGCCATTGAGTCGGTACTAGACTCATAGTGACCCTATGCACAGCAGAATGAAACACTGCCCAATCCTGGGCCAACCTCACTACTGTTGCCAAGCTTGAGTCCATCAATGCTGCCACCTGGCCAATCCATTTCGTTAGGGTCTTCCTTTTTTTCTCCGACCGTCCACCTTACCAAACATGATATCCTGACTGGTCCCTGCTGACAATATGTCCAAAGTATGAGAGACGAAATTTGACCATCTTGGCATCTAAGGAACACTCTGGCTGCACTTCTTCCAAAACGGATTTATTGGTTCTTTTGGCAGCCCATGGCACTTTC